GTTGAATTGAGTCTTCAAGATGCTGTCTCTAAAATAATTCATGTCCCAATGCCAGCTGTCTTCCATTTTGAAGTCGTTGCCCTCAAGATTCAAACTGCAGGAAAGGGTGTCTGATTGGCCTGTCAGGGCCACATGCCCATCCCTTGTTAGGGGTGAGGGGCATGGGAGTGGGGGAGTAGCTTGTCATGCTTAGCCCACGGAATAAAGTGCTGTTATTAAAGGTGGAGGTGAAGAATACTGCAGAGGCTGAAACGTGAGACCCTACATGGACCCTTGGTTAACATCTGGTCTGTCACCTTGGTGACATCTGGTCATGCCACTCCCCAGTGGCAGTTCTCCAGAGATAGAAGGCATGTTGGCTGTCTACCTGTGGTCACTTGGGGTGAGTAATGATGCTGGGGTTGGCTCAGAGTATTGGCTTCTTTCCAAACATTGCTGTTTTTTTTTCAACGAAAACAATGCTCTTTAGCTTTTCTCTACTGGATTGTTGTTGTTGTTGTTGTTGTTTGCCATCGAGTCGGCCCCGACTCATACCTACTGGATTAGGGTTGCTCATATATGCAGGCCCTTCAGAAATTTACTTTTCATGAAAACTCTGGACGCTAAGTAGTTCTTTTTCTGTTTTTATACGTTTATTCAACACATGTATCAAGGGCCTGTGCTGTGCCTACACTGTTCTAGATTGTTGGAATACAGCACATTCTTCTGTTTGAGTCTCTGGATGGTTCTACCCACCCAATCTGTCAGTATGTCGTACGGTGGTGGCTTGGGTATTGTTACAATATTGGGAACTATGCTACTCATATTTCTAATACCATCAGGGTCACTTCAGTTTTAGTGGTGCTTCTAGACTATGACAGACTAGGAAGAAAGACCTGGTGAAAATCAGCCAATGAAAGCTTTAAGGATCATGACAGAATATTGTCTGATGATAAGCCCCCTAAGTTGGAAGACATGACAGCAGACTCAAACACACCAATGATTGTGCAGATGATGCAGGACAAGGCAATGCATCCTCCTGTTAACACATAAGGTCCCTGTGAGCCAGAGCTGACGCAACGCCAACTCCCAACAACCATGGGCCTGCTCTATTCTAGGTGCTCGGCCAATTGTAGAACAAAGCCAAGTCCCCACCACCTTCATGAATGGAACCTACATTTTAGTTCACCATTGTATCCACTGACTCAAATGTTTGTTGAATGAATAACTGAGTGACACCACCATAACTTTTCTGAGGAATGCACTAATGATGGGGCATTGGAGCTGATATATTTTGCTTTTCTATTTTTTCCCTCCCTGCATATGCCTTTTCCTCCAACTCTGAGAAGTTGTTAATAAATTCTTACAGACTCCAAACAACACTAGTTGTTTTCCAAGTGGACTCTAGAGTTCTCTGGTTAGAAGGCAATCTGAAAATAATGATGTGTCTTGAAAACCAGCAACTGATGGATCTGTTAGTCACTGGTTGCCCCAGGGGACTGTTTCCTCACTCCCACACCCCACCACCAGATCAGATGCCCTGGGGCTCTTGATACAAGTCAGATGCTGCTGCCTGTGGTGGGTGGTGGTGTCAACTCTGGCAGTAGGCACAATCTAGCACCACTCTAAAAAAAGGGAAGCTTGCAGCTCTCCTGCAAACCATGTTTGAAATGGGAAAGGGGGTTGCGGTCTCAGCTGCCTGGAAGCTGAAGCTGGGGTTGTTTCTCCTATCCAAGGTCCAGTTTATCAGAAACGGGGAAATTGAAGGTATTCAAACTTCTGGGAAGATGAGCACTATGAAAAACTGTCATTTAACAATCCTTAGAAAATGAATAAATAGAATACTCACATCAGCTAAAAAAGAAAATGAAGAATACTAATAAGGATAAGGAGCTCTGGTGGTGCAGTGGTTAAGGCATTCAGCTGCTAACCAAAAGGTAAGTGGTTCAATCCCACCAGCAGCCCCATGGAAGAAAGATAAGGCAGTCTGTTTCCATAAAGATTTACAGCCTTGAAAACCCTACAGGGCAGTTCTGTTCTGTCCTAAAGCGTTGTTAAGAGTCTGAATCAACACCATGGCATTGGGTTTAATAAGGATAGATCTCCAAGACATATTATTGAATAGAAAAACAAATTGAAGATGTATACGTTTTATCTGAAAATAAAACAAAATTCACCATCAATAACAACACGCCTAATGATGCTATTTATAGGTCGCTATGAGTTGGGTTTGACTGGATGGCACATAACAACAACAACAACAAGTGTGACTCATGATGACCCTGTGTCAGAGTAGGGCTGTGCTCCCTAGGGTTTTCAATGGCTGACTTTTCAGAAGCCGATTGCTAGGTTTTTCTTCTGAGGTACCTCTGAGTGGACTTGAACTGCCAACCTTTCAGTTAGCAGCCAAGGTCGTTAACCATTTGCACCCCCCAGGCACTCTTTATATACCACAGGGCATATATCTGCATTATGTGTCCAGAAAAAGGATTGCATCATATTGACAATACTGGTCACCGTGGGTAGGGTAGAACGTAGATGAGGACTGGGGATACTGGTTACAGGGAACTTTAATCTTAACTATGATACTCCATTGTTTTAAAAGAATGTATTTCATTCATAAGTTTTAAAACAAAATGAATTTTAAAAGAAAAATATTAATAATTGTTACACTAAACAAACATTAAGACATGATCCTCAGGGAAGCAGGACATTAACCTCTTGACCAAGTTTGTGCTGTAGTGGTTTTATAGCTTTCTAGAACTATCCCGTCTGAACAGATAATATAAAAGACGCTTTGTAGAGATCCAGATGTGAAAAGAAATATTCTCACGTATAAGTCCAGTAGTACTAGGACTGACATTTTGCTCAACAGGTCAATCGTCTTGAATTCTTTTATTTGTACAGTGCTTTGTGGGTTTCAGACAATCTCATTTGAGTCTCACAAACGATACCCAGGAGGTAGAGCAGGATTCATCATCTCCATTTCACAGACTGGGAAACTGAGGCTCAGGACAATTAAAGGACCTGCGTAAGATCAAAGTGGTTAAGGTCCAGAGCACCTAATAGTTCCAGGAGCCGAACGTTCTCGCTGATGACTCCATCTCTACAAATTCAACCACCAGTCTGAATAGAAGCCGTCACAGCCTACATTTCATCTGCTTGGTGCAAGTTCACGATTTGGCAGCCCTCTAACCATTTTCTACTGGAGCCCAGGCAGATTGACTCACAATCCACAATCTAATTTCAGAACAGAGTCCAGAGACCAAGGGGGACTTTCCAGCCAGTGGGAAGTGTGTTGTCACTACTACTCTCAGACTCCACCCTGGCACCAGTTGCAAGTGATAGATGACATGGTGCCGGGCTTGATAGCAAAGTCCTGTGTTGCCTGGTGACAGCTGGTACTCTTGTCATGTCCTGTTAACTTTTTGTGATGGGTCCGTAACCTGTCTCCCTAACACTGCAGAGTCCTCAGGACTTTTTCTTACTCTATCTTATTCCTCAATAGCCACTCAATGAATTTGCAGGTGATAAATCCTCCAGCCCCGCATGGTAGCCAGAACAGGACAAACCTACATGCAGTAACACACTTTTAAAACTAATACAGCTCTCACGAGACCTGACACTTCTGCAAATAAACTCCAGCTCTTCCTCCCCAGCCCCTCACCGAAGGCCTGCTCCTCCCACAGCTTCACCTCAATCAACAGCGTCAGCCTTCACAGCATGTAAACCCCAGACTTGGACTCACATCTCTTTCACATCCTACTTGTAATGCCAAGCAAATCTCGGCTCTACCTTCTAACACCCCCCAGAATCCAACCATTTCTTACCACTTCTCCCACTACCACCTTCAAACCACCGTCAGTTACTCTCACGCATGGTGCCATCCTGAGTCTGAGTCCTTCCTACCTCCACAGCAACTGGTTAAAACAAGAGGAACAGACACGTGTGATGATATGGGACCATCTCCATGATATATCAAGTGGAACAAGACAGATTAAAGGTGTGAAGGGGGCCACTGTTTGGGTAACAAAAGGAATAGGCGTACACACACTTCTCATTTGTGCAAGCATAGAACAGCTCTGGAAAATCACAAGCGACTAAATGGCAGTGGGAGCTCTGGTAGCATAGTGGCTAAGGCACTTGACTGCTAACCAGAAGGCTGGCGGTTCAAACCCACCAGCCACTCCTTGGAAGGAAGGTTGGGCAATCCTAGTATCCGTAGTGATACTGCCTCGGAAACCCAAAAAGGGGTCGCTATGAGTAAGGGCTGACTCGACGGCACACAACAACAACAACAACAATGGCAGTAGTTACCTTTTTGAGGGTCTCACTCAAGGACTGGGAGGATTAAAAACAATTTTTTTAAAAAACTCTGAATTACTTTTAAAAAAATACCTCTATACTACTTCAATCCACACTGTTGCTAATTTCGGACTCTGTGAATGACAAAAATAAACCCAAACTCTGCTTTGAACCTGTGGGGGGAGGGGAGAAGAGGGCCTTTTATTTCCCCGGCGAGAGAAGCCAATAAAACGTATGAATAGGTTCAGCCCGACCTCGTGCTCGGTGTACTCCAGGGCTTTCCCGTCTCCCCTCCCCAGCTCCGTGGCGCTGGGCCTGTCGGTGCGCTAGGACTTTGCCGCCTGCCTGGAGTCCCTGCTTCCTCCTTAGAGGGCAGCAGAGGCACAGTCCGGGGACGCATGCGCCTCAATTTGCGCCCGGGGAATTAAAAAGAAAGAGGGGAGGGAAAAACAAAAAACCAACAACAAAAACCCCAACAAAACACACGGCTCCAAACAAAACCTAAGTGCAGAAAGGCGCGCAGCCCTGCAGACTCCGGGCCTGGAGGCGTCCCCGCCCCCGCCCCCGCCCCGTCCCGGCCGTGGGGTGATGAACACGGACCAGCCCGCGACGCCCGGGCCACGACTGTTCCGGCACCTGACGCCCCAGCCCCAGTCGCTGGCCGCGGCAGCTTTCTCGGAGTCTCCCGCCGGCGGCAGCGGGGGACCTCTTTCTCCATGGGGCTGAGGGACTGGCTGAGGATGGTGTGCTGCTGTTGCCGGTGTAAGTGCCTGGAGGAGCCCGCTCTGTCCGAGAAGGAGCCTCTGGTCAGGTGGGTGTACGGCTCTGACCAGAACCTGGGGTTACCTGAACGCAGCCGGACGTCAGGGAGTGCGGATACCGGTATACTAGTCCCAGTAGGGGAGGTGACTTTACTTAAAGTCACACTTAGACGCAAACTAAGCCCATTAGCCCCCTACAGGATATCTTGTTACTTGGGTTTATTTATCTTCTACCCAAAGGATTTTTGCCCCAAAGCACAAATCCTCGGAGGCACCAGAGAAGGAAGGTCCATGAGAGAAGTTCCTATAGGGCCCTGATTAAATCCAACTCTGATTGTATATTCCATATGAATATTTCAGTGAAATTATGCAAGTGAATTTTTATTTCACTCCACAAAGAAACTTTGTGATTTAGTTTATTACCAGAAGAAGACAATTTCAGTAACTGAGCACAAAGGCATTATTTTTCACCTTAAAAAATAAGCGTATTTTTTCAAGGGACAGGCTTTTCATAAGGATGTTGAGTCATTACAGGTTAAGCTAGTTATGAAGTGTGAAAAAATTTAATACTTATTGGCAATGTGCTAAGTGACTTTCTGAAGAGTCAGGAAACATAGTTGGATTCGGGGCTGTGATTTTAAGCAATTAGTTTGCTTCTTAATGTTGCTAGAATTAGGATTCCACTAGGTCATACCTTGCAGATAGACAGGACAAAATAGAATTAGAGTAATGACATTAACAAATGTGTTTAAGGCTGAACTCCAGGGTTGTGTAAGCAAATACTAAAGCCATTGGTAGTGTTGTTTGTGAAGTATACTATTAAATACAAAGCTTAAAAGAGTGGTTTACCTTAACTGACTGTTGTTGTTGTTGTTGTTTGCCGTCCAGTCGGCCCTGACTCATAGCGACCCCTCCTTGGGTTTCCGAGGCAGTATCACTACGGAAGTAGGATTACCCAACCTTCCTTCCGACCTTAACTGACTACATCACATCAAGTCCAAATACCTCCCTTGACTTTTGAGATCTTGCATAACCCCTTCTCTCCTGTCCACTCTCATTTTCCAGCGTATTAAACACTGTGCACTCCTTGATTTAATCAGACAGGCATCATTTCTGCTCGAGGAACACTCTACTCTTCTTACTCCTTCCCAGCTTGCCTCAAGTAGTGATTTTTATCCTTCCTGAATGCTATTCTATAAGGCACCCTCATGTAGTCTGTTTTGGGTGCTTTGCCAGTATTCACCTCTCTCCTCTGACTTAGGACTTAGAACATACCATCTGACTCTCACCATTTAATAAACATACATGTATGTAAATATACATGCCATGTATATTTTATATAAATAAACATTCATATACACAATACTTAAGGAGCTCTGGTGGCACAGTGCCTAAGGCATCTGACTGCTAACCAGAAGGTTGGTGGTTCAAACCCACCAGCCACTCCACGGAAGGCAGACTGGGCAGTCTACTTCCATAAAGATTTACCACCTTGGAAAAACCAATAGATGTCGCATGAGTTGGAATCGACTCAATGTCAGTGGGTTTCAATTTTTTTTTTTTTTTAAAATACATAATATTAATGTTTTTGTCTGCTCTTCCTGATGGCATTTCCGTTTCGGTTATTAGCTTACAATGGGCATGGAGAAACCGAGTTATCTGCTCTTGGTCTTAAAAGTTGTGGGTAGCAATCTAGAATTTCATGCTTGAATTATAGACTCAATTTGTCAATACTCCTGTTGTTGTCGTTATGTGCCGTTGAGTCGGACCTGACTCATAGCGACCCCTTCTTCGGTTGCCGAGGCAGTATCACTACGGAAGTAGATTGCCCAACCTTCCTTCCGAGGAGTGGCTGGTGGGTTTGAACCGCTAGCGTTCTGGTTAGCAGTCAAGGGCCTTAGGCACTATGCCACCAGAGCTCCTTCAGTAGTCCTAGTAATATGAAGTTCAGCCCTCAGTTTGGAAGCATCCTCAGAGCCTTGCTGCCTGTGATTGCTATTTCACGTCATGGTTTTGGTTGTTACATCCCCATGTGAGTGAATTTTGTGAGTGATTTAAGAAGACAGGGTAAAATGAGGCAGAATAGCATATCCTCATGAGTCAAATTGCCTGGGGTTAAGTCCCAACTGGAAGACCTGGCACCAATTATTAAACTTATTTTGTCTCAATTTCCTCATCTGTAAAATGGGACGATAATAGTACGTACCTCAAAGGGTTGCAGAGAACAAAATGAGTGAGCTAATACAGGTGAAATGTCTGACACATAATAAACCCTCAATAAACTTTAGTTACTATTATCATTGTTATTCATCCGAGCATGTGAATATGAATGGGCTGGTCTTATGTGGTTTAGTGTCATTCTGGCATCATAAATAGAACAGTATTTGGGAAGAGCAGCTTATCAATGGCCCTGTGGAACAGTGGTATCTGTGTGTATGTTTGGGTGTCAGCTGCCAGCATGTTCTTTTTACTGAAGTTATCGGAAGGTCTGATATGCAATCTTTTTAACTGTACATGGTTGGGAAATTCAGTGGTTTGAGTATATTCACAAAGTTGTGCAACCGCTCACCCATTGCCGTCAAGTCGATCCTGACTCATGGCAACCCTGTGTATTACCACACAGTAGAACTGCTCCATAAGGCTTTCTTGGCTGTAATCTTTATGGAAACAAGTCCACAGGCCTTACTTCAACAGCACTGCTTGGTAGGTTCAAACTGCCAACCTTGTATCCATGCCACTCTGACTTCAGAGTCCATGCCTTGCATTGTTTAAAGTTCAGAACACTACCACACATTTCCCATAAGTAACTTCTAAGATTTCTCTGTTAGAAACTGGTAAATATTGCTGGCCTTCACCATGTTCCCCTTCTGACCTCTCTTTCCATTCCTTCCTCTGTGATCTTCATTATGATAATTCTACCCAGATGGGGAAGCAGCCTGGCATTCCCCAGTGGGAGTTCAGAGACCTAAGTCCCAGCTTGACCGTTAATCAGCTGTGGGTGGGGAAGTCTCGTAATTTCCTTGGACCTTGGATGATTCTTTTGTAAAATAGGTAGAACAGACTTTAACATGTGATCTTGAAGGGCCTTCAAGTCCCGTGTCTTTCCTACTACAGATCATCTTTCTATGGGCTTGTGTTAGTTAAGACTCTGAGCTGACATGGGATATAGGGCCACTGAGGAAAGGCGTGCAAAGGCCCAGGAGATGTGAATCCTGGCCTTTTGTCCTAACTGTATAGCTGCCCAGGAATGCTTTACCTGCCACTGTTGAATAGGATATAGGGCCACTGAGGAAAGGAGTGCAAAGGCCTAGGAGATATGAATCCTGACCATTTGTCCTAATTTTATAGCTGCCCAGGAATGCTTTACCTGCCACTGTTGAATAGACATGTCTAACCCAAGGAAGCTTAAGAACAAGCCTGGGCCTGGAGAATGGAGTCATGAGTTGGACTAGGCTTTAGCCCCAAATAAAGCCAAAGCTCTTGTTCAGTCTTTGCATCATATACTCATTGTTTCCTCACCTTCACTTCAGTGTTAGGACTAAATCATGTAAGAGTCATCAACTACCTATATAAGGTTTAGAGGTTCTGCAGGTCATTCTTCCCAACACCAACTATACTTCTAAACTAGAGTAAATAGTGATCAAGACAACAAAAGCCTGTATGGGCTGAGGACAGGATAATAATGTAAATGGAGTGTTTTAGAATGACTAGATCATTGATCATGTGTCTGTAAAATTGTGAATGAGTTTTTGGTTCAAGATTTCATGTTACTAATTAAAAGAAGTATTTGGAAGTATGTATTAGTTTCCCAGGGCTGCTGTAACACCTTAGAACAAACTTGGTGGTTTATAAACAATAGAAATTTATTCTCTTGTAGTTCTGGACACCAGAAGTATGAAATCAAAGTATCGGCTAGGCCACACTCCCTCTGAAGGCTCTAAGGGAGAATCCTTTCTTGTCTCTTCCAGCTGGTGGCTCCTGATGTTCCTTGGTTTTGGGGCAGCATTACTCCAATCTTAGCCTGTGTCTTCAAAGACACAGACCTTTGCCTATGGCCTTCTTCCATATATCACTCCTCCTCTGTGTCCTTGAGTCTCAAATTTCCCTCTCTTTTTTTTCTTAGGAGGATATTAACCATTGCATTTAGAGCTCACCCTAAATTGAGGATGATCTTATCTTGAGATTCTTAAGTCATTAAATTATTACATCTGCCAAGACTCTGTATCCAAATAAGGTCACATTCATAAGTATCAGAGATTAGCGTTTGGACATATCTTTTGAGAGGATATTGCTCAACACAGTACAGGATGCTTCTGGAAAAATGTCTGCACTCAAAGCATGTATTGTTATTTCACTTTTGTAGAATGGCTTTCTTCTGTTGGTCATAAAAGTGTGCTCTAGCCACATAAAAACCCACCTGAGCATGAGTTGTAACCTGAATGATTATATCATTCTGAAGGCACAGCTGAAAGCCTTTAAGCAGAAAGAGATGCCCATCTCCTCTGGCACCATAGAGTCTACCACCATACAATGTCCAATTCAGACGTCCAGGACCTGGGAGAGACTGAGATGAAATGTGAAAAAGAGCTGTGGTGTAAGTGTCCCTGCACTAAGGCGTCTTTTATATAGGTTCCTTTGAACTTTTTCAGGGAAGTAGAATTTACTTTCTAATTTTTATTGAAGGAACCCTGGTGGTGCAGTGGCTAAGTGCTTGGCTGCTGACTGAAAGGGCAGTGGTTCCATGGGAGAAAGATGAGGCAGTCTGTTTGTGTAAGATTCCAGCCTTGGAAACTCTATGGGGCAGTTCTACTCTCTCGTAGGGTCCCTATGAGTCAAATCAACTCGAGGGCAACAGGTTGGCTTTCTTTGGTTTTAATTTTTATTGACTGTTAATAATTGATAAGCATCTCGACTGTCCAATAGTTCAAGAGCAACAGAAGAATCAAAGGAAAGAATTAACAACTGTCTAAGTTTTCACTTTTGGTTCTTTCTCTCTGAAGCCATCTAAGTGAACCATATAATGTGTTTTCAAATCTGTTTTATTCTCTAC